AAGTGTTCCCTTTTCATCACACCTCTCCAGCAGCTGATATTTTTGAGTTGTTGATAATTGACATTCTGACTGGAGTTAGGTGGTATCTCAGTATGGTTTTGATTTGCATCTCCCTGATGATTAGTGAGGTTGAGCACTAGAGTCTATAATACTGAGTGACCTCTCACAGAAACAAAGGTCCGAGTATCACATGTTCTCACTCATATAATAGACCTTGAACATCCAATGTAATACTATAAGAAAATGGCTGACGGTACTGGGAAACTCTGGGGGGGGAAGGGGGATGGGATTAACAGTAGCAAATATCTGTCTGGGGATGGGAAAACACCTCTTATCAACAGGGTGCCTGAATGAAACGTAATTGTACACCTAACCCTTAACTGTACCCCACAAAACCATAATAAAAAATATTGATTAATAAAAAAAAAGAAAGTGGAAAAAAAAACATAAGTAAGCAAAAGAAAACAGGAATATCATATTGCAAATCCTATTCTCAGTTAACATGTCTAATTCTTGGAACTTTAATTTGAAATATGTTCTACTCCTTTTCAATCCAATTACCATGGCTACGTAAAGAAAAAAGATTTATAAATCAAAGAGACATATTTAGCTTGAAGATTTCTAGCTATGAAAAGAGTGACACCCTTTATATTTCTTTCTCCAAGCCAATTTTAGCTCTCCTGTAGCAACTGTTTTATTACTCTCCAACCATATTAAAATTATTATAAATGTGAGTTTTACGTCTAAGAAAAAAATTAGAAAATAGCTTTTCTTCCTCTATTTTGTAATGTCCTCACAAAATTCATTTAATAATGAATTTAAGCAATTCATTTAAAATTAAATGAACTTAATAAAATTCATTTAATTCACAAAAATTCATTTAATTTTTAAACTGAATTGCTGAAGCCTATGGGACAGGTTAAAAAGAATAGGGATCATTAAGTATTTGGTTCCAAAAAAGAAATAGTTGAAACCTATTTTGTCATTGTTTCATGTTGCTACTCAACCATGAGTAAGTATGCACATGTATTTTTCCCCCCAATTTTGTTATTTTTATATATTCCAGGTAAAAACAAACCTACCCATGACCCATTGCACCATTAGCCGGTTTTACTATAAAAGTTTTCTGCTTCCGCTTTTTCTTTAATTCTTTCACATAATTCTGGAATTGAGTATACTCAGCAGGGAAGATCCATGTTCGAGGAACAAAAGTATAATCCAGAGGCCGAGATTTGATCATTCTATAAAGTAGAGAAAATATTTAAAATCATTTCTATTCAAACTTTTATACGTTTTCTTTCTCTGGGCTGCTGATATTTACCACAAAGATTTAAATTTTCTCTGTTCCTTCATTTATTCATTCATTGATTGATTATTTCAACAAATTTCTGTTAATCACCTAGTAGATACTAGACACTATATCCTAGACACTGGACACATCAGTGAAAAAATAGACAAAAACATCTGTGCTAATATGTACTAATTTACATATTACATTTATTTGAATATACACTAAGTGCTAGACACTGTACATTAAGATAAATTAGCATGGTCACTGATTCCAAAAAATTTACAGATTGGGCTATTAATTATAAAACAATGTGATGGGTACACTAAAAACATATAAAGCAAGGTAACGTGTAGAAAGAGTCATTAACCCCGCTCAGGGATATAGGTAGAGAGTAGGCAATTGTTCAACGCAAGTGCTATTTCTATCGAGTCTTTAAAAATGATTTTGGGTCTCTGGGTCACCCACAGGGAGCAGTTTTTTATTGTCTTTTTTGCCATCATTTTTTTAAAGTTTAACTATTTTTCAGAGAAAACCATGTGAAAGCCTCAGAGTTAACAGAGGGTTTTTTTTGTTTGTTTTGTTTTGTTTTGTATATATGAACTACCTATGCCTGTGGTTTTATAGCTACAAGGTATATTCTGATATTTTTGTATCTGCTACAAATTAGGTTGCCTATGCGATGCATAATTTAGGGATGATACTAGGTATAAAATGTTGACTTTTGCTTAATCCCAAATGTTAACATTTCGTACTTATCAATTCCCAATAAAGATGAAGAAATTATGAGAAAGATTTAAAATATTATCTATATCTGTTTGTTTCAAAAGAAGACTTTTTTCTAAATGTATGCAAGTCTTTTTTTTTTAAACCAGGTCAGGGTCAAGCTCAGTATCCACCATCACCCAGTTATATACAAGTCTTTTATAGGCAAGCAGATATTGTTCCAAAAAAGACTGGTAAGAACCAAAATTGAACCATAGAAGGCACAGAAGTAGGGTTTAAATTCTAAGACAAGGTGAACTTTCAATAAAATCCTGTAAAAAAGTTATGTTACCACTATGAAGGAAAATAATTATCAATTCCATTTGTCAAATACAGATTAAGTCAACAAACTAAATAATTTCAATACAAAATAGGCTACTATTGACCGACTTGAAAATTACCTATGCCAAAAAATATATATATATCTAAAGGAAGTACAGTAACAACAGTACTAATGCCCTTATTTTTGTTGCTAACACCTTCACATTTATTTATTAAGTCCTTAACAATGGCATGAAAGAGATCATGTTAAAGCTTTAATTAGAACAATATATTTGAAAACTAACAGGGTGAACTGTGCCTTTTTTAGTACTCATCGCATATTTTAACTTTTCCAGAGAGTCTCTGACCTCTCTAAAATGATCCTTCCACCATCTTTGCCACCATACATTGACCTTACCTCTAATATGACAACGTTGAACTGTATTGTGTGTATTAGTCTTTCTCCTTTACTAAAATGTGAGTCCTAGCAGGGACTAAGTCTTTTTTATCTTGTTTACTTAAAAATTAGCAGTCTCTGGGCAAAGAGACAACATGCAAAAAATACGTATTGAGTGAATAAATGCATAACTAAACACTTTCACATGAAAACACACTGATATTTCTTGAATTTTACTCCTACACTTTGTGAATAGAGTCCTCTCTTTTAAAAAATTGTCTCTGTTTATCACTCAACGGTCTTTAAAAAAAAGGTAAGAAAATCCTAACCAATAGAAATATAAACGGTTGCATAAAATTCTGCAGTTTATTTAGTAAAACCCTTGGGTACCTGATTACTATCACGCATATACATACTTGGATGAACATATATACATGTGTATGTTTGTGCATGTGTGTGAGGCATAGTCCCTGGCACATGTTCAATAACACACACACACACACACACACACACACACACACACAGCATATAATGCAACAAATTTGTTCCTGCAAGGTTTATCTGAAGATAAACAAGTATCTATTGAATGCCACATACAGATATCCTCTTACACTTAAGAGAAAACTTCTTTTAACAGTAGTTGCAGTGAAAATGAGTCCTGAGATTCTGGAGACTAAAATTCGAATCCAGCTCTGCCATTGACCGTTTGCTAGACTTTGTGCAAGGCATTCATTTCTCTGACCCTCATTTACCTCCTCTGTAAAGTGGAACACCAGAACCAGGGAATGTCTTGGACATTTCTAGCTCTAGAATTCTATCTCTTTCATCTAAATATCATTTCAAATCACAGCAACCTTGCAAAAGATAGCACGGTAATATTCATAGTGCACATTTTGAACAGGTTTTCTCTATTACAAGAAAATGAAGATTACTTGGTCATATTTCTTGCTAAGAAATCCTTTCTACAGATCTCCCCCATTCCTGGAAAATGGTTGATCCTCTGGAAAATAAAAAGGTAAATATTAATATTCTCATGAACTTAAGTAAATATATTCATTTATACTATAGCACAGTTACATTCATCCTTTGAGTTTTGTGTTTCAATAAACCAGCAATAATGAATGTAAAAGACTTGAAATTATATGACCTACAATGAATTTGTGGAATTAAAGACTCTATGGTAATCAAGAAGAAAATTGCAAAATTCTAAAGAAATCAGAAAAGGGTGTTTGTATAGACAGTACAGTTATTTTCTGTGATGAATAAGTGACAATTTAATATCCAAATTACTTTTGGCATTCTAGAAGTATGGGTATATTCATATCCATAGGTCATCAGTGAAAATGGACTTGTAAATGAAGAAGGTCTATAAAAATTGTCAATTGTCTAAAATTCCTTACATTTGGCTTTTTAGTTTGACATCTATTTTCTTCTGAATATAAGCGTGTGTTAGTTCTTAAAATAAAAGAATGAAGCCAGATTCCACGTAGCTGACATTACAAGGTATTTCTGCATCCTGATCTCCATAACTCCCTATGCATCGATTCCACATCAATCATCTTTTCTTTTGTTTTGCGTTTTGTTTTGTTTTTTTAATTGAGGGCCTCACTGTCACCCAGACTAGAGTTGCATGATCACAGCTCATCACAGCCTCAACTTCCTGGGCTCAGACAATCTTTCTGCCTCAGCCTCTCAAGTAGCTGAAACTACAGGTGTCTGTGACCATACCCAGCTCATTTTTTTTTATCTATTTATTTATTCATTTATTTTTATTTTTGCAGAGAGGAGGTCTCTCTATGTTGACCAGGTTGGTCTCAACCTCCTGGGCTCAAGCAATCCTACTATCTCAGCCTCCTAAAGAGGGTGGGCCACCGTGCCTGGCCTCACCTTACTCATCTTTAAGAGTAATGCAAAGCACCATCTTAGGAAGAAATTTTTTTCACTCAGTTCTTTCTTAAAGACAGAAAGAGGTTAAAAGTTAATTTTGAAAAGGATGCAGGCATTATGCTGAGAGACAAAACAGCAAGGTAGCCACAAAACAGGCTATTCAGGTAAGTTAGAACTGAAATTTAATAAGTCAACAGATTAAGAACATATCTAAAGAAAATTATGATGACATTCACATAGCTTCCCTTATACCAACAGCTGGTCATGACTGATCTCCTACCTGGTAATTCTGCAGCTCTGAAATTTTCTCCTGCTGAACAGCAGAATCACACCATATAAGGTTACTTGTTTCGTCCTCATCTGGAGTTTTCATAAATCCCATTTCATCTATGACTAAACGAACTGCAAGTAAACATTTAAGTTCAATCAGAATTAAAATATTTCTGGAATAATGCATTGTGGAAGCATTTTTCTATCTATCTATCTATCTATCTCTACCTATATATATCTATTAAACAGTGTGCATTAAAATTCATATATATGTATATGTTCTATATATATGAATTTTAATTCACACAGTTTAATTTTCAAAATATCCATTAGTTGCAGCATAACCTTATTTTTAGTTACAACAGTTTTATCTAGGGTCAAATTATCCCCAATAGCCACTGAGAACTGCTTTTAGGTTGCACCCAAAATCTTTAGTTTTGGTCCTCTCAGATTTAACAGGTACACAGAACTGACAAAGGGTTTAGTGATTATTTATGGCACAGTGAAAACACACACACACAGTCAAGATAATACCTCCACTCAGGAAAATGTACTTTGTGGCTTTTTTATGAACTTGAGCTACACACAAAAGAGCAAACATAAAAATATCATCAGATCTATCCTACACTTTCCACCTCCCTAGTCCAAATTATTTTTTAGCGCTTAAAGCTAACTCATCTGTATCAAGATACGCAATAATGAAGCAGAATTCACAGGAGGCCTTGGATCTCAGCCCTTCCTTGCTCCCAACCTTCTAATCCTACTGAAAAACTTTATGCACAGAGGAACACTTCCTTTTTAGTACGAACTACTTATAAACTATTTACAAACTCTGATTTAGATCTTAGATCTCACAGTATTATTTTTTTTCCATCAAATTTCAAGTGTAGAATAAAGACAAGGATAATTTGTGGCTTCCAACAGAATCCTGAGTCTTAACAGAATGGTGTCTCTATATAGCCATGCTTATATATTTTTTTGAGTCGGAGTCTCACTCTGTTACTCAGGCTGGAGTGCAGTGGCACGCTCACAGCCACTGTTGCCTCTACCTGCTGGGCTCGGACGATCCTTCTGCCTCAACCTGTCAAGTAGCTGGAACTACAAGTGTGTGCTACCATGCTTGGCTAAATTTTTTTTTTTTTTTTTTTACTTATTGTAGAGATAAGGTCTCACCAAGTTGCCCAGGCTAGTCTCAAAGCCCTGAGCTCATACAACCCTCTCACCTTGGCCTCCCAAAGTAACAAGATTACAACTTGAGCCACTGTACCCAGCCACATGTTTTGTTTTTAACGGTTTTCACTAGTACCTTCTATATAGGGAGAAATTGTATCAATTATCTGAATGACTTCACTCAAGTACAAAACTGGTAACCAGACACCTATTGGTCTCAGTCCTAGTGGCTCCAGACTATTTTTAAGGGGAGGGGAAAGAAAGAACTTTTTATGCAATAGTGCCTGAAATGCAAGCATAAAAGAGGACAGTGATTGGGGTGGATGGAGTTGGGGAGAGGTAGTTGAGTTGAAGTTGCTGTCTTCCATGAGAGGCTTGGTGAAACTTGGGGTTTTACTGAAGTCCTAAGTGGTGATGCACACGCACAAGAGTTGGAGAAGAGGCCATTGCCCTCTCATCTGTCGCACACAACCATGTGGCTTTGGCATTCTGAGGACTAGGCAGCGGCTGTGCCACCCAGAGCTCATAAAGAGGACAAGAACAACAGCCACACAGCCTGAGAGACTCCCTTAGCTGGCTCCCAACCAGACAACAGTGACAAATTCAGAAGAGCAGGTCAGGAGCACAACCCATTCCCAGGTACATGAGAGACACTGCCTGGGACCTCTGAGAAATAACTAGGAAGACCTTGATGACATAAGTGGAATTTCTGGCTGTCGAGGAAGGAAGGAATGGAATGAGCTTCTTAAATTTGGGTATTTACGTGTACACAAGCCCACGAGGCTGGGAGTGTTCAGATTATATAAAAACATTGGAATATTGGAAATTTGTCAGTTGAGTCATATATGAATCTATTTTATTGTGAAATTCAAAGCTCAGAGAACTGACAAGGTTAAAATACAATGCCAGGTATTAAATTGTCTTTATTTTCAGCTAAGCTATTCAATCATATTTTTGTTTGAACTGAAGTTTTAAAAATCAGTTGGTGTCTATTTAAGGATACCATGCTCCACTGCGTAGAAAAGAAATCCTTTTAACATGTCAAAAATTTTATGAAAGGCATTTAAGACTGGGCACAGTGGCTCACGCCTGTAATTCCAGCACTTTGGGAGGCAGAGGTGAGAGGATTGCCTGAGGCCATGATCATCAGGCCACTGCACTCCAGCCTGGGCAACAGAGTGAGACTCTGACTGAAAAAAAAAAAAAAGAAAACATTTAAAACCTCATCGATCAGGTTTTCCAATAATTGTTAAAAATCCCATGACTTAAGGAAACTTACCAATTTCAAACTTTGTCCCAGCAACATTTGCCGTAATGGTTCCCTTCTTTTTCTTCTTTCTGACTTTCCTTTTCATTGTGCTTTGATAAGGTAATTCTGTATTCAGATCCACGGGAGAGGGCCCCTGAATAACTTTTAAAGAAATGTAAAACAACCAGGTATCACTGAAATAACAAAAAACCCATACCAGAAAACACAAACCCCACCCCTCCAACAAGGTGAAATTACAAATTCTGGTTCTTTAAAAGTTCCCGACTAATTTCTAAAAATGAGCAGTGGTGATCCATCACACATCCACATTTTGTAACATGGTCGCGTCAATCTGCTTACCTGCTTCTTGAGGCAGAGATGGCATTATTGCCCGTGCTGATGAGAAAGCAGTGTGTGCTGCAGTACCAAGATCTCAGGAAATCTGGAAGTCCTGCATTTGTCTAAGTAGGATATGGCCCAGAGTCATGGAAAGTTCCTATCATATTATCTTGGTGGAATCCTCAGATTTCAGGCCACTGAAGTTATGGGATAACAAGGTAGCTGTAGGGATTTGAAAACAAAGGCATTTAGAAAACAACTTTTATAAAATTTTGTTGATATATACCAATACTGTTATTTTAAAAGTCAAGTTAGGTGAAAGTTAATGTATTCAATCAACAAATATTTGTTAATCAGCTTATAAAACCTTATGCAAAATGCCAAGTGATGGTTTTTCCTGTTTGAACGAGCACATAGGCTTTTTCCACTAGGAAGAAGTTTTATTAGTCATGTGTCATATTTACATGCAATACATAACATACCATTTCACAGGCAATAACAATAACAATATTCACTACCATTTAATCTTTCAACCAACCTATAAAGTAGAAGCTTTTATCCTTATCTTACAGGTAAGAAAATTGAGCAGAGAAAGGTCAAATCATTTTGTGTATCTTTACAAAGAAAGTGTTAAAATAGAGATGAAAATGAATATCCTTTTGAAGTCCAAGCCAGAGTCCCTTAACCAGTAACCCATCCAACCTTTAACCCAATGCCTGAAACACAGCTGCCACACTGCTTTTATAGAAGCCAGTGAAATAAGTACCAGGATAGAGGTCACTTGGTGACAGAATGCAGAACAGTGATTCCTTCTTAAAGGGGTAGGAGGGACGACTTCATAAAGTGAACCACATTTGAATTGTCCCTTAGAAAATGAGAACAATTTTGAAGGACAGAAAATGTGAGAGGCCATTACTACAATGCTCTTATTTGGGCATACAGAGGAATGCGACAATGAAAAAACTAATTTGACTTGATTCCATCTCAGCGTGGCCTACAGTATACTTTGCCAATATCTCCATTGTCTATATATGAAGTTAGGCATCAATGCCCTCACTATACTATACTGCCCAGTCGACACCATCACCTAATTTCTCCTTCATATTGCAAGCATCTTTTAGTTCTTATGAAAAGTCTCTAAATACAATAAAGAATTATAAAACCTATTGTGATTTTGAAAGGTTTATCAGAAATTCAGAAATATCTAGAAATGTGGCTACCTAAAATGTGACTCATAAACATTACCCCAAAAGTTCATCATAATAATGTATTATTATTAAAGCAAATTTAGTTCTTTATGTGTTCTCAGGTATCACTTTTATTGGAATAATTCTCTAGTATAATTCAATACCAAAACTAGGGAACTATTATTACAGATTAACTGTGAGTAGGGCACTATATTTAGCATTTAAAATAGTGTGTCTCCTTAATAAACCTTGAGCTTCGGTATCATTTCTCCCTATTTTCCAGGTGGAGAAACTAAGGTTAGATAAGTTAAATTAAGGCAACAGCTTAGAAATAGAAAACCTAGACTTCAAACCCAATTCTGTCTGATTATCTGTTCTATTGATTGAGCTCCACTATCTTCAGACACCATACTAACATGCTATACAGACGTATGACAAGTCTGCAACCCAACTGCAGTATATACTGCAAAGTATAGTTGTACTCTGGGAATTCACAATGCTTCAAACCAAACAGTGATTTCACAGTAAAGCATCTCTAAACTAATCTCAGTTCCCAAAGCCAAGCTGGAAACCGACTAGATCACTTCCCAGAATAAAAGAAAGGAGTAGCCTACAGTTTAGTTCAGTTTCTTTCTGGAGGCTCTCTGATACCTCAGGGAGGCAACTTTTTAAGTTTACAAGTTCTTGTCCAACATCTTGTTACTGGAGTAAACAAAGGTGCCCTTTACAGTAGCAGAGTACTTATTACATTAAAAGTAGGTGACAAAGTCAACAAGACATCAAAAACAATGTTTGCCTATCTATACTAGGCTCTAAAAACAAATTTGTTAATTTCTGACTTAAAGAATAAGCCAAACAACCTTGGTTTGTGCAGAGTTCAAGGCAAGAATTTTTAGCCTTTACCCACACAGGAATTTAAAGTTCTTAGAAGTAGTCCATCCATTATATGTGCTTTACTCAATTCCATTTATGGTTTGGTAAACATGCTTTAACAAACTCAAGGGTTCTACGCTATCACGGTAATTTTAATTACTTTACTTTATTCTAAGCAAGAGATTTGACATAACAGATTTATCCCACTACTCAGCTGAGCCAGTTACCTACTTTCCAAAACTCAGTGGCTTCTCAACTCCGGCTGCAAAATACAATTACTTGAGAGAGAAGCCTCTGCAAAGTCCTGGTGCCCAGATCACACCCCAGAACCAGGTGGGATCCAACCACTTTAAATCTCTCCAAGTGATTCAGTGCAACCATAGTTGAGAATCTCTACTGTAAGTGCATAATGGCATTGGAACAAATAATGGCAAATTACAACAAATACATATAAAAATATAAGGAAGAAAGTAAAACAAAGATGAAAACTCTTGTAACTTTTTTAAGGCCAAATTGGTTAAAAAACATGTATAAAAATCCTGTCTTGCTGTCTAATTCAACTAAACAAACTGAGAAAAATAATTAGAGGGGCAGCAGAAACTTATTTTTTTTCTTTTTTTTCTTTTTATTTTTTAGTTGAAGTCTCATTCTGTCACCCAAACTGGAGTGCAGTGGCATGCTCACAGCCACCACAGCCTCGACCTGCTGGGCTCAGGCAATCCTTCTGCCTCAGCCTTCCAAGTAGCTGGAACTACAAGCATGTGCCACCACACCTGGCTAATTTTTTTATTTATTGTAGAGACGAGGTGTTGCCAAGTTGCCCAAGCTGGTCTCGAACTCCTGGGTTCAGGCAATCCTTTCACCCCTGCCTACCAAGGTTCTAGGATTACAGGCATGAGTCACCGTGCCTGGCCTAAAAACCTAAGACAAAGAAAACATATCATTTTTGAAAGGAATTAATTTTCATTTCAAGCAAATGATAACCTTCCTTGAACATAGGACTACCAAGTGCCAACAATACATAATATTGAAACAAAACCAAAATAATTCTAGTACCTTTGTGCTAGAGTACCCTTTCTTCCTGTTGAGCTTCTTTCACACTTAAAATCCAGGTAAACTGCCACTTTTTCCTGAAAGCATTCTCTAACTGTGTCTGAAGAAACCCATTTCTCCCTCTTCTGGTCTACCATGGAGACCTTTATTTATATCCCTGTAATAGCCACCTGTCAAAGCGGTAAGAGCATGAAAAAGGTAGTTTTCTTCCAACTTTTTTTTTCTTTTTTTTTTGAGTTGGAGTCTCACTCGATTGCCCAAGCTGGAGAGCAGTAGTTCACTCATGGCCACCCCAGGGCCAACCTGACTCAGACGATCCTTCCACCTCAGCCTTCCAAGTAGCTGGAACAACAGGTGCGTGCCACCATACCTGGCTAATTTTTTGATTTATTGTAGAGATGAGGTCTTGCCAGGTTGCCCAGGCTGTCCTTGAACCTGTGGGCTCAGGCAGTCCCCTCACCTTGACCTCCCAAAGTGCTGGGATTACAGGCTTGAGCCACTGAGCCCAGCCTTTCTTCCATCTTGCTCACTCCTCCATCCCCAAAGCCTAGAATAGGCAGTCCCTGGCTATAAGCACTTGTGAATGAGTGCTCTGGTCTGAACTTTTGTGTCCCCTCCAAAATCCATGTTGAAACTCAATTCCCAATACAACAGTGTTGAGAGGTGGGGCCTTCAGGAGTGGTTAGATCACGAGGGCTCCTCCTTCATGAAGGGGTTCAAGGTCCTTATATTAGAGGACCCAGAGGCCGATGTGGAAGAAGCAAAACAAAAAAATCAAAAAATGGCAGACGCACTAAAAGGCATCAAGATTGATGATTTTAAAAACTGTTTTGAGTAATGGAAAAAGTGTCTTGACAGGTGTATCACATCAAATGGAGTCTGAAGGCTACTGAAGTTTAAGCATGTAAGAATAAATGTGCAATTTTTAATAAATAAATTCTGTTTCTTTGGGTCCCCTGCATACAAATCACATTAATATATGTATACACAGCATATACATAGAGAAGCTTACATATGGTTAATAGTACTGTACTGTATATTCAAAATTCCCCAAAAGAGTAGATCTTAAGTGCACCAAAAAAAAAAAAGTTTTTTTGACTTGAAAAAAGAAATGTCAACGAATGAAGATAACATTGTAGATAATTTTTATGGCAACAAGATGAAGACAAAATATATTTTGTGTAAAAGAAGGAAACACAATGGAAACTCAGACCTTCTCCAATAATTCCAAAGCCCAGTAAATACATGAGCTCTTTTGACACACTTATGCATTTTTAGCTTATTCATAGATGACTAAAATAATCTAACAAAAAGAAAATAGGAACCTAAACTTGGATAAAGTGTAAAATGTGTAAAATCAATTAAATAAAAGCATAGTAAGAGCTGTTTTATGGTAAGGAGAGGAAGAACCAATACAAACAATTACCTTTTGTGTACAAAGCATTTTCACATAACTTTGTGCTTATTGAGTCCACCCCAAAAATTCCACTATATTTTATTCCAATTATAATTATATATTTATTACAATTAAATATTATATATTCATATATATATTATGTATATTATATATAAAAATATTATATATTTATTGCAATTATAATTATTCCAATATAGGAAAATTTAGCCTCCATGGTTAAGAAACTTGCCCCAAGTCACACTTCTAATAGGTAGCAGTGAAGCAATTTGTCTCTAAAAGCCATATTTCTCCTGACTTTTTGTGCTACCTTCAAAATTCAGTCTTCGAATGTGCCATACTGAAAATTTCACAAAGAACCTTAATTTTGTTGCAATGGATCTACTTTAAAAGCTGGGGGCCAAGGGCAGAAGAATCCAGTTGTAGCTTCAAAATGTGGTTGAGACCATGAAGTTGCATTCAGTTTAATCACTACTTTTTTGGAAAAGCTTGGGGGCTTACCCGTGTCCAGACTATGTTCCTGTTTTTCCTTCATGAATGTACTGCAACTCAACAACCAGTGTTATATATCAGGCACTGTCCTCAGTGAACAAAATAGCCAAAAGTGTTGCACATTCTAGTGTAAGGAAACGAACTATAACAGCAAACATTAAATAAGCAAACTAAAGGAAACGTCAAATACTATGGAAGAAAA